AATCCACTTGGTTGATGGTTGTTAATTTGTTTATGTTGATGTGACAATGGATTATAGAGCCATCTGATAAACATTTTGTCAACAGCCTTTTACCTGAGAAAGGTTTTGTTACATGTGCAGAAAAGTATTGATGGTAACCCTGCCCTTAAAACATCATTATTACACCAAATAAGGAGATATTGTTCTAATATTTGCAGACAAAGAAAGACCATGTGTTTATGCTACATAGCGGTGTTACTAATGATTTTCTTTTCTCTTATGAACAACTGGTAAAATCCAATAACAGAAATCTAAACAGACTTATTAGGATTTGGGAGAGTTAATGTTGTGTAAAAGGTACTTGCACCACAAATCACGTTTTACACAGTGGTGGAAACAACAAAGGTCCTTTACTTAAGTACACTTGAGTACTTTTATTTATGCAAGTATTTCTATTTTCTACTACTTTTCAGAGATAAATATTGTATTACTTCCTACATTTATTTTTAATTAGTTACCAGTTCCTTGCAGATGGCATACAGATTAATTCAAAATATATAACAAATACATTATGATGTTTTGTTATAGGTTAAGATAACCTTATTCCCAGCAAAGGGTTACAACTCACAAGCTACCCAGCAGTGGCTATGAGTAATTAAACTCAGCCCACTTACCAACTGCAACATTCACAACTTAATGCATCAATAATTATAATCAAACAAAATAATATATATTATTCTGAAATGGACAGTTCTGCATAGGTTAATTTTTACTTTAGAAGTATTTTTAAATTAAATCTTTGAATGCAATACTTTTTCTTATAACGAGTATTCTATACATGGTATGCTGCATAAAGTAAAGTAAAAGTTCTGAGTAGGCTACTCCACCAATGCTTTCACTGCTGGGCGTCTCTGAGATCTCAAACAGGATCAATGTCGTTTTCTGTGGCAGACTTTAAAATTCAGAATCATGTTTTTAAGCAGTTCTAACAAATATAGGAAATGTCACGAAGCATTAAGGTGATTAAACGATGTTAAATATGTTTTTGTTGCAGTTAAAAAAGGCCCGGACATCTCAGAACAAAGGTTTCAATCTGATTAATCTTGCTGCAGTTACGCACTTCCAACATCAGGGGCCTCCCTGTCTCCAGCACACAAGTCGTCCTCAAGGCAACCAGACTGTCACGGCAACCTCGCCGACGCTCACTGGAGGTACTTCCTGCTGAAACTGGGAAACTGGATGAAAGCGATTCAAAAGTAATGCGCACGAACGGCGTTTTTAACGCTTAAACCTGTAATTTAGCTCCAGTAGCAGGCATCTGCTCTTCCAGGTAGTAAAACTGCTTCTACAAAGGTCTTAGAAGTGGAGATATTAACTTCTAAGGTATGGCTTTCTTTACTTTTTTTTTGAAGGATTGAAGCCAAGACAACAACTGCGAATCTTCACTGACAGACTTTTCTGAACTGTAATGCTAGAGAGAACCTTAACAGCTGGTTATCAATGCATTTAGCAAGGCCAAAGTCCTCCAAAGGGCGAAGCAGACCTGCTGTAAACAACTCTCTGCATGCAGGTGACACAGCCAGCATCCGGGGGCCACCTGTGTCTCCAAATTCTCCTGTGTACAGCAGGCCGGACAGAAACCTCCACTTCCAGTCAGAGCCCATAATGTGGCAAGCCAGCCAGCTGAGCCAGGATGAAGTCCTGCAGATGCTGCAACACGCCCCTGCTGCTCCACCACAGTCCTTAAACAAGTACAAGGTCCTTCCATCCATAGAGAGGAGGCGGTCAGAGGTGAGTCTTGGGAGAAACCTGGACAAACAGATGTCCATGCTGAGCCTGTCTGATGATGCTATCCCACAACAAAGGCGCAGGAATGAGGAGCCAGATCTCCCCATGGTGAAGGCTGTGACCCAGACCTGCAGCTCTGAGCTGGACAAGAGGGGCTGATGTGCATCTCAGGGTCACACCTAAACCCCCTGAACCAGGACCAATAATGACCAAAGAAGCTGGTGCCACTGGCAGCTTGCTCCTAGCTATCCGAGCCCCATGTGGTAGGAGGTTTCAGCAGCACTTTAACCCCACAGACACCCTGCTGACGGTGAAAGCCAGTGCAGAGGTCAGGTATGGAGTCAAATATGGAGACACTTCCATTGAGACCGTGGATCTACCACGCAGGACCTTCACAGATATGAATATGACCTTAGCCCAGTGTGGCATCTTGAACAGATGGTTGCTGTGCATCTCCCAGAACGACAGCATGGTGGAGCACGAGTGAGCTTTATGTTTTGCAGTTGAAATTTGTCTTAATGTTGGTATATAGAGTCCCCCACCACTCCAAAATGTGTTTTGCTTATTGTTTCTTCCCTTGGATGTTTGAGCCTCACTGCAGTACACAGTGATGTTGTGAGTTTGATGCTAGAAGGCTGTTTTCACATCCATCTGCTGAGGGGGGAAAGTGTGAAACCTCCAGCACACATACACTGAGGATGCACTTGTTAGTGAAGTATAAGGTAAACTGTCCGGCGTTTTCAAATGGAAAAAGATTCAGGACTTTTCAATGAGTGAGATGAAAGGGAGGGAGGGATGTTATGGAGCCCCAGAAGTTTTATTCTTTTGGATATTGTTTCCACAAGATTTGATAAAAATATCTTTTAGGACTTTAGATGTGCTTTAAGAGTTTTAAATTTAATTTTGTGATAAAACATCAGACTCAAAAAATTATTTTTATGTCTTAAAACATTTTTAAGTTCACAAGCTTTTTTGTGTGCAACTATTGACCAGCAAATTTTGAACAATTAAGTCAATTCATCTAATGGCTTGTAAACACATTTTAAATGACTTGTTTGTTTATTCAGGGGGACTGCACAATACTTAAAATACTTGAACACAAATACATAAAATGTATACTTAGTCTTGTGACTGAAATTTAATTTTACAGACTTGTATGTGTTGAGTCACTTGTCTAAATGACACATGCTGCTCAAAAAGGAGAAAAAGGGGATCCTATGTGTACACCAAACAGGAAAGCAGTAGGCCTCTTCGACACAAGACATTTTGAAGTGCAACAGTAGGAAAGGCACAGGTGTAAATACCAAATGAATCACAGCCATCGCTGTCATTATTAGTAACGCCTTCCATTGTTCAAAATGACTGCTGTGAAAAAGGTCCATTTCAAACCTTCACTCTGTTCTGACTGAAGTACTGCTTTTATATCACTTCCTATAGAATGGAGCCACAAAATGATTTCTGGATGGATAAGAGCAATGCGTTTATGAAGCGTGACATATGACTAATCAAGACACACATGCTACTTTTCACTTACAAAATGTATTTAAATGATTAACACACTAAAGTGCAGAGAATTAAGTGGTTAGAGGGTTTTGAACATATTGTATATTCACTGAAGAATACACGTTTGTCAGATTATGTTTAATAAAAGGTTCTGAGCAACTGATTCATTCTTTTGGTGTTACTTGATAAAAGGGCCAATGTCAGTCCTCTGACAATCTAAAGCAGTCAAACAAAAACAGCAATTCAACTGCAAGAAACTGAACAGGTTTCACATGCAACAGTATATTTATTTTTTATCCACACAGTAACAGCTCTGGCTTCACAGTCAGATCCCACACCAAATTAAGTTATGAGGAAACTAACTGTCAGGCACCACAAGGCTGAAGCATTCACTCAAATATCTGATCTCAACTTTTATCAAGCCGTGCAAACATCTGTAAGGGAGGCAGTCTTGTGCCCCACCAATCCTTCAAAAAAAACAAACAAAAAAAAAAAACCACACACACATACACACTTCAGATAATCAAACACTGCAAACAATTAACTGTAGTAATATCACCACCCTTCTTAAATGCTGTTTTAACAGCTACTGGTTAGTTTAAGGTCTCTGGGAGACAGTTTAAAGGCTTAAGGTGACTCCAGTGATCAATCAATGCAGACACATCAAATGAAAGTCAAAGTGAAAACTTTGGCACAAATTAGTGCCATGA